ATCGGAAAAAAAAAACCGATTTGTGGTTTGGTTTGGTTGGTTTGGCGGTTGAAAAAAACCGACCACTCTTGGTTTGGTTTGGTATTAAAAGAAAAAAAGTTAAACCGAACCCAAACCAAACCGACATAATATATATATATATTATTTATAGATAAAAAATATTATTTATAATCTACTTTGTTAATATATTTTTAGTTAGTTTATAGTTTTCAATGTTTATATATTTTATTTCAAATTTGGGCTTGTAAAATTTGTAAATATTTTATTTTGTATTAAGATCCGAAGTTACAATTATATTGTTATAGTTTTTCAAATTCAAAGTTAACAATTTACTTTGTAAATATTTTGTTTTGTATTCAGTTTGCATGTAGCCGTTAATTTTATTAATTTAACATAATGAACGTTGATATTTTAAAAAAAATATTTTGTACTCAAATGAATTTTACCGTCTTTTCTAAAATTTCTATTCATTTAACATTTTTCAAGTTTAGCTTATCACATAGGTAAGTGAAAACATATTTGATCTCTTTTTCAAATATCGCATAATTGTAAAAAATCGAAAAAACTGAAAAACCGAAAGAACCGACTAAATCCAAAACCGAAAAAAACCGACTTTATATGGTTTGATTTAGTTTTTAGATTTAATAAACCGACATAATTGGTTTAGATTTTTTTTAATGAAAAATCAAACCAAACCAACCTATGTACACCCCTACTTGTCACCCGTACCCCTCAATTGAATGAAAAACTCCAAATCAACTAAAATTACACAATTTCAATTAAAATAACTCGATTTCCTATTTTAATCCAAACCGACCCACTTAAAACCAAATGAATTCATACCAATTTAAAACTCCAAACCCATCTCTCTAATCTTCTTCATCTCCTTCACCATTCTACTTCAAATCCACTAAAATTACCTAATTTTCTTTTTTTATCCAAACCTAACTCACTAAACCAAATGAATTCATACCAAACTAAATCTCCAAACTCATTTCTTTAATCTTCTTTCTCTATTGGAACACTTTTGAATCTTCATCAACTCCTTATGTCCATCTCTACATAAATCATGGTTTACGAAAAATAAGTAACGAACACCATTACTATAGTCAATTTACCCACTTGACAACCGTAATTTGCCTAATATATTTTTCCAAAAATTCAAAGGCAGGAAGATGGAAACATCTGCCACTGTAACATGGTTGCCTTCCTTCATTGCATCAGTCTCTATTAATATATAGGAGGGAGACTATTGGAGAAGAGAAAGCGTGAAATGCTGAGATCTTGTGGTGAGAACCAAAAATCAACACGAAAGTTTAGGAGAGATGTTATAGTGGTACATTTGTTGATGGAGTTCTTTGTTGGTTTCATCATCGTCACATCAATGAGGATGCGATCTTGACTCAACCACACAATTCTGCAGATACCCATTTACAAGGAAAAATAAGAAAATAAATACGAATTCAATATCCCTCAAAACTTTGACATTCTATTTCAATGACAAAGGAGATGGAGATAAAAGAGATGGATTTGAGATTTTAATTTGATATGAATTTATTTAATTTAGCAGGTTAGATTCGGATAAAAAGAAAAATTGGGTAATTTTAATTGAAATTGGATAAGTATAGTTGATTTGGATTTTTCATCCAATTGAGCACATCTCCAACCCTACACTCTATTTTCATCTTCAAATATAGAATTTTCTATTTTTTCAAACAACCAACTTCAATCCAATTTTTTATTTCATTCTCTAAAAAAAATAAAAAAAATTCTCTCTCCTTAATATTATATTATTATTTCTATTTCATTCTTATTTTCTTATTTCATAATATAAATCCTTTATTTTTTCCCAATAATTACTTTATATAAATTATGAAATTTTTTATTTAATATAAAATTTTATTTTATTCTAAATTTTTAAATAACATAAATTGCAAGAAAATATTATATAATATACAAATTAATGGACAAATTCAAATAAAAGTGAAATACAATTACATAAACACTCAATTTTTGAAAGTATCACATTGCTCCCATAAATGCTCTATTAATGCATTAAGGAGTTCAAAATGAGTATTTTTGTCCTTACTTTTTTTATATGTCTAGCTAAAAATTATTCAAATCGGAGATTTTCATCTACCACCATTTTTGTCGTTGGGGTTGGAACCTTTACGACATCTTGAATTGGTGGATAAAGATCACGTTCATCCTTAATTATCATGTGCAGTATAATTCATGTAATCATTATATCATGTAACACTTTCTTTCTCCAAAAACGTGACAGTCCTGCAATAATTGCAAAACGTGATTGCAAAACTGTGAATGCACGTTCAACATCTTTTCAGCATGATTCTTGTTTCATCGCGAATTAATTATTATGTTATGTATTGTATTGTATTGTATTTTATCTTGTATTTAAATTATCGTATTATATATTGTATTTTCAAATTAAAATTTTCATCTAATCTTTTTAATTTTGTGTATTCTTTATAGTGAAAATTAATAATAAAATCAAATTATATTATTGACAAAAATTAGAAAAAAAATAAAATACTATTAATTCGGGATGAAAGTAGTATATATAAAATAATATATTTTTTAAAATATCATATTACGTTTAAAAAGAATTGTGAATATTTGATATTTAATTAATGACATTATATGTAAAATAATATGTTAATTAGAAAGTTATAGAAATAATAATAAAATAATCAAAAAGTGCAATAGAGAGTGTGAATAATAGTTTTCCAAATTTGGAGAACTACTATTAACCTCTCTAAATATGAAGAATAGAGAGTGATATGGAGGTGGGTTAGAGTGTCCATTCTCTATTTTACTCTCCAAATATAGATAATGGAGAGTAAAATAGAGGTGGATTGGAGATGATGAGGGGTATAAATGACAAGTATAGTAAAAGTGAGATAAGAATAACTTTATTTTAATTGGTGAAGTCAACTAATAACTGAAAGTTAAGGAATATTTTTAATCAATTTTTTTATTATTTATGCATTAATTTTATAAAATAAAAAATATTAAAAATTATTTATTTTTAGCAATCACAACATATAAATCGAAACGAAGGAATTATATAAAAGAACACTCAAGTAGAAGGTAGGAGAGTTTGACGAAATGAATTGTGAAGGAGACTGCTTGACAAGGGAACCTACAAAACACTCGTCAAAAATAGAGATGTGACAACTATTATAAAGAAAGCTCTTATCCTACAATAACACCACTATTTATTTATATAAAATAATAAAAAAGATACAACCACCCACAAAAAGTAAAAAACAAGTGTTCGTTTTAATATTTTATACATATTAAAATTTCACCCTTCAAGTATAATTTAATTAATTTTTATTTATTTCAAACACAAGGAGAACATCCTTCAAGAAAACTTGTACATTTTGACCCAAAAACTATGTAAAAACAAAATTCAACTTAGGAGGGGTATGCGAAGCTCTTCTTCCTAATGACCTTATATTTCAATTTATTCAACAATACATGGCTAATAATTACTTAGGTATATTTAAATGGTGAGAACCAATATGTTTAAGGTGAGAAATAAATCAAAACATTTTCTTTAATAAAGCGAATGAATTTGTTTTATAGAGTGGGAAGCGTTTTACTAGTTGTCTAGTTTTGATAAACATGTTAGAGCAGTGGCAGAGCCAAAAATTTTAATAAAGGGGTTCAAAATCTGAGAAGTAAGTACACGAATTAGTGCAAGGGGATTCGACATCTATTATACATACCTAAAAAATAATTTTAACCATGTATAAATTAGTAATATTTTTCGCCGAGGAATTCGGATGAACCCCTCATTTTATGCTGCCTCCACCCCTGTGCTAGAGTTTTAATGTCAAAGTAGGGGTGTGCGGAAATCTAATCGATCGATGAATCGAATCGAAAAAGTGTTATTAATTTATTTTATTGGGTTATTGAGTTAATGATTTTTAATAGTTTTATAAAAAAATCGGGTTATCAGTTCGGTATTGATTTTTTAATATTGGGTTATTGAGTAAACCAATAACCCACTAAGACTAGTAATTTATTATTTTTACTTGTACAGAAATATTATATATTAATCTCAATATCTTACTAGTTACTATCTTTGTCCTTTGACCTTCAATTAACCACTTCACATTAAACAAAACGTCTAAATCTAAAATAAGAACTCTATTCCTCTTAATTCTCTTTGACTTACACTTGTGTAGTTCTCTACATGTAAAGTTACATTATTGTGTTGTCACACCAAAATTATTAGAGAAGTCATATATTTGTTTTGTAAGTATTTTCTTATTGGTTAAACCGAGAATCGAATCGTTAAAGAACAAAACAGATAAAAAATATCTTATTGATTTAACCTATTTAAAACCAAAAATAATAAATCGGACCAATAGTATATAAAACCGAACTGAACCGACCGATGCACACCCCTTCAAAGAATCAATATATAATCCAACGAAATTATTAAAAAAAAAAGAGTGAGAAAAATAGAAAGATAATGCCAATGATTATTACCTATAATATAATAATAATAATAATAATAATAATAATAATAATAATAATAATAATAATATAAGTTTGAGACTTACCTATATAAGACGGCATGATTGAGGTGTGAAGTATTATTCTATTAAGTATATTTTCCTCCCAGCCAATAATACTTGTTTAAAAATTGGGTTATGTCCATATTATGCCCCTATCTCTATATGACTAATGAAGGCACGCCTAGGACAAAGTTTATAGAATTTGAAAATCATTTTAAATATTTGCATTATTAGTCACTATGTTACCTACTTAAGAAAATAAATATTTATAAATGACATTAATGTTTCTCCACCATTCATTTGACGGCAATTCCACATAGGATGCCCTGGCCCCTAACCTTCATTTGTCCTGTCCACTAATCATTACTTTTCAACAAATGACATTATAATTTAATTTCACTGCCATTGCAAACAATCAAAGAAGAAAAAAAAGTAGTTGAATGTTGATGGAAAGTCATGCCTACAAAGGACATCAGTTTTTGCTTACTTCCATCTGAACTTATCCAATATATAATCCTTCAACTTTCATTGCCAGAGATTATCCAACTCAAATCTGTAAATAAGTCCATTTTCTCTATTATTTCTGATGGAGACTTCATTCGTAACTACAATCATCAATCAAGCTCCGCCACGTGGCTGTTCCTTTATAAAAAACGTTGGCGTCGTGAAGCCCTTCTCTATGGTTTTGCTGATTCTTCCAATCGTTGGTTCAATATATTGATATGTGATATGTTGAAACAAGTGGTACCACCAGGTGAAGATGTCTACTTTTTGACAGCTAATGCTAATATATTCCTCTTCGCTTTGAATAATACACAACAACTCATGTCAGTTGATATTATGACTAGGATTGTCAAAAACATCCCTCCAAGTCCTTTAGGTCCACGTGGTACATCCTCATGGCGAAGATCCGGTATGAAATTATTATCTTGCCCTAATTCTAATTGTAACCATTTTAGATTCTTGTTTGCTGAATACCATCAAAATCGTCCAACTTTATTTGAGTATAATTCAAGAGTTGAAACATGGGAATATAGTTGGGGAACATCAGATCATGAGGTTGTTAGGCAAGACTACTATTTGGATGATGAATTTATATTCTTAAGTGCATCTAATGGAAGAAGTGGAAGTGTTATCATAGGCGTTGTGCGATCTTATGAATGCAACACTACTATCACTACTACTCCGCTAGTCATCAGACCAACATTCAATGAGCAGCATGCCGAAGATCATCGATTAGCCGTTGGATTTAGTTGGGGGGATTCCATAGATCTATTACACGTCTATGGTGATGGGAATATGATGACTATTAGATCAGACAAAGTCAATAATAATAGTAATAAAAGAAAGATAAAGAGAATAGAGTTATGGGGTTTGAGCAGAAATAATGGGAGGTATTGGGAATTTGCATCAACAGCACCAAATGAGTTGATTCATAAAATAAGTAAACCATATGGTGCTATGATGGGGTGTATGCAAAAAACACAAGGCATAACAAGGGCAATTTTGATGACAAATCTTGAGGGTACATGGGAAACTATTTGGTTAAGCTATAACAACAACAACAATCATTGGGCCTGCCTTCAGTTACCTGACTGCAACATGAAAGGCTCAAACCTGGCTGGAGTCACATTCTCCTCTGGTTTAACATTGTCCTAGCTACCTACCATATATTCTAGGCACAATGCTTAAACATGACCCTTAACTTGACGTCAGTTGGCAACTTTGACCTTTAACTTTGGATGTGCACAAGTAAACACTTAAACTTGTATAAAATTGAACAAATGAACACATTCGTCCTATATGGCACCTTACATGACAATTTTGAGTCCTACATGGCGTCCTACGTGTATTGTGCCATGTAGGACACTTATGTCTAATTGTTCAATTTTATACAAGTTTAAGTGCCTACTTATGCATATTCAAAGTTGGAGAGCATAATTGTTCGTTGAAGTCAAGTTAAGGGTCATGCGTATGTATTATCCCTATATTTTAATTGCAATTTCAATGTCACATATACATACATGAATACCATCAAATAATCATAATCAAACATTTACACTCAAATATTGTCTTTATTACTTTATGTTTTGCCTTGTATCAATAAACATTAAATTTTTAAGCGCCACCTAAATATATAATAATAAAAATTAATTATGCCTGGATAATAAAATATAACTAATAGACATAAATTAAAAGTTCCTAAAAAATGATAAACGCTTAATTATTGATCATGCTTTGCTAACTCACTAAATGAAGAACCCATATTTTACAGAATTATCCTACTATTTTAAATATCAATGAAAACTTGAAAAATTAAAACAAACTAAATATTCATGGGTATATCAACTAAAGTACCCTTGATATAATTAATTATTAACATACTTTGTACTTACAATGATATATTTAAGTGTGTATATTCTTAAAAATTTTGTTTGGAATCATCAAATAAAAATAAGATGTACATACAGCTAGACTTTTGAATTTAAAATATATTATTATTCATCATGTTATTTCTTCAGAAGGTTATTTTCACAACTCAAACTAGTAGCCTCTGGCACATGACAACAACACTATGAATTACGTCAAAACTCAAACTAGTAGCCTCTGGCACATGACAATAACATTATCAATTATGACAAGGCAACCTTTGTTTATTAGACTTAACATATATTTATAAACTAAAATTATAAAATAGCACAAAACGAATCTTACTTAATGCCATCTTGGAAATTACTTTTATTTTCCCTGAATATGTATGTATGAGTGAAGTGTTAATATGATGTAACTGAGTAGTTCTTATTTAAAAATTCATTACCAAAATTATCAAAATTACCAAATTTTTATAGAGCAAATAGAGCAAAATTACCAAATTTTATCGCAAATAGCAAAAAGATCGAAAATCCAAAATAGCAGAAATAGCACATTCACCGCACCAAAATTACCAAAATTTTATCGCAAATAGCAAAAGATCGAAAATCCAAAATAGCAGAAATAGAAATAACAGAAATTCTGATTTTTGTAAATCCTACTCAGTACTCCCTCTCACTCGGTGTCCTATCATGTTTATCTCAGAGAGTTTAACCTGCTTTTTCCCTTCTTTTTTTTTAATTTACTACCCCGTTCATCTCTTTCTTTTAACCTATATTCTTAGCAACTTCTTCTTTAACCCCACCCCGGAGATGGCCAACAAGATGTCCTGTAATTTCTGCGGACTTTTTAAGGCCTTTAAAACATCCTAGGAATTTATAGGTTAATCCATCGTTGTTATCAAGAAGTTAAAAGCTTAACCATATATTAAGGATAGTTCGTAACATAATTTATAACTTGAATACAAACATAACGTGAATACAAACATAATTTACATAATTATTTTTAGGGAAAAATGCAGGAAAACATAAGCGACTTACATGATTTAGAAGGAGAGAGGTTTCCCTTTCGGGAATCCGACTGACCCTTACACACTAAAAAACCAACTTTTTGTACAAACTGAATATTACAAGAGGTTTTTTAGAGGCCTTTGGTTTGGGTAGTGGAGAGGATTTTGTGGAACATTGGCAAGGAGAATATGTTGTGTGCTTTTTTTTCTTCTTTTGTTTTTTTTTTCTTCTTGCCTTCATTTTGCGTGGAGTGGTGTCTTTTATAGAGGAAAAACACAAATACTAATGGCCTAACATGGCAGACACACTAAGGTAAAAGTGGGATAAAAAGTAGTGGGCTAGAGTTGGCCGACACTTTTGAAGATAAGATCAAATAATACACGTCGGGTACACATTGGGGCCCCATCGTCACTGACTTTGACGCGTGCTTATCAGTTTTTTTCTCTTTAGAGGATAGTGATAAAGTAATCACTCACACGACAAATGTGGGCATACTCACATGACACACTTTTATTTCTACCAAAATTATTGTCTTTGCCTTGTTCGTCTTCAGGTTTCAAGGTTGTGCAGAGCTATGGAATCAAAACTCATGCCGGAATCATCATCTTCATTAGGATCTTGATAATATGAATGTTCTCCATAGTCTTCTTCCCGGAACTTAGGGATCTAGTTATGTTATTACCCAAAGTGTCTCTCCTTGAGCTTGTATTAGTTCTGTCGCGTTCTGTATCTGGTACCAGTCTATTTCCACTTGGATCTAGATTTTGCGTAGTAATTACGTGTTTGTCCTGTCCTTGTTGGAAAAACTTTTTTAAAGTCTTTTTTATTATGCTCTCTATTTTATCATTTTATTTTATTTTTATGGAGCATAGTTTTCTTTGTTATTGTCTCTACCTGAGTAAATGATCTGGGTAACCTTCGTCTTGATGAAGAACCTTCATCTTCACTTTTTGGCAAAGTGATAGCCATATGATACAGCTAGTCCGGTTCAAACGGTAGCCGCTAAAGACACCTCAAACCCGTTTATGACTGTCACTTTGCCAAAAAGTGAAGATGAAGGTTCTTCATCAAGACGAAGGTTACCCAGATCATTTACTCAAGTAGAGACAATAACAAAGAAAACTATGCTTCATAAAAAGAAAAAAAAATGATAAAATAGATAGCATAATAAAAAGGAATTTAGAAAAAAATTTCCAACAAGGACAGGACAAACACGTAATTACTACGCAAAATCCAAATCCAAGTGGATATAGACTGGTACTAGATACAGAACGTATAAATACAGAACGCGACAGAACTAATACAAGCACAAGGAGAGACACTTTGGGTAATAACATAACCAGATCCCTAAGTTCCGGAGAAGAAGACTATGGAGAACATTCATATTATCAAGATGCTCAAGATCCTAATGAAGATGATGATTCCGAAATGAGTTTTGATTACATAGCTCTGCACAACCTTGATACCTGAAGACGAACGGACACCTGAAGACGAACAAGACAAAACAAGGCAAAGACAATAAAATAAAGTAGGAATAAAAGTGTGCCATGTGGGTATGCCCACATTTGAGGCCGACACTTTTGAAGATAAGATCAAATAATACACGTCAGGTACACATTTGGGCCGCATCGTCACATGCATTATTGTCACTTATTGACACAGACTTTGACGCGTGCTTATCAGTTTTTTCCTCTTTAGAGGATAGGGATAAAGTAAGCACTCACACGACAAATGTGGGCATATCCACATGACACACTTTTATTCTCTCTCTCTCTCTATATATATATATATATATGGCACTTTACCAAAATTTAAGTTTAAAATATTGAACAATACTAATGTAATTTGATGCGATAATAAGACCCAAAAAGATTTTGGTGTAATAATGATATAATATTTTTGAAAATCAAAATTTTCAAACCAAAACTTTTAAGAGTAATATAATCCGAACCGTGCCATAATTAAACACTCCTAGGAACAAGTAGTGAAAGATCTATGGAAAAACAAGTGAAACAAATTTTCAATCCATTATTTTATACAATGGAAGATGTGATTTTTAAAAAAGAGCTATGGAAAACAAGTGAGAGAGAACTGATCACCAAATGATATGGCGCAGTGGAACCAGAGGTCTCGGATTCGAGTCATGAGTGTGAAAAAACCCTTGGTAGGGGTAGCTACCTCAAAATAGAACCCTATCTAGCGTGAAACTAAATTAGTTGGACTCCAATACGGGTACTAAACACCGAATGGAAAACCAAACAAAAAAAAAGTGAGTGAATTGTGTTACAATAGAGTGTCTGTAAAAAAAGAAAAAAGAAAAAAGAAAACAGAAAAAAATGCAAAAGGGGAACGTAGGGGAGAAGGAGTGCTGACAAGGAGGGTCCCAACAAAAGCACTTGTCCATAATAGAGAAATAAAACGTTCCTCCCAATCAAACATTTACATGCATTCTTAACATTTTCAAACAGCCAAAAGAACAAAAAATCTCCACCAAAGACTATATATTTCTGAGTGCCAGGAACGAAGATTTACAGTGAAATATATCAAACGTAACATATATAAGCCCCTTGTGGGGGGAAAGGAGAGCTCTGGCCACTAGTTTCAGCCCCTTCCCATCGTACACCAAGAAAATTAGCAAGGGGGGCAATCATATCATGGAACTAGACGAGTATTAAAATTCGATTAGGGAAAGCTCTTAACTGGCATTAAGGGCCCATACATACATCATCTGCACTCTTACCTGGCTTTATATGCATACATATATCCTCTAAGTTTCCTCACTTCTTCAGATGACACATTTAGTAAATACTCTACGTAAATGCACACTCCAGCTCCACTGCAATTTCAAAGATCAATGCAAGTTTTTCAACAAAAGGAGTAATTAAGAATGTGGAAATAGTCAAGCAGGCTTACCTAATGGGACCTAATGGTAGCCATACAACATCCCATCTAAACTTTGCCAACCTGCAAAATGTAGGTAAAAACAACAGCTTTGTAGGGCCCACGGATCCAAATTGAAGAATGCAGGCAACGACAAGTGTATGACATAGGTGCATAGGCATTCAATTATTTATTGCATGGATATGCCGGAAGTGATACAACACAGGCATATCAACGATAATAGGAAATATGATGGCAATTTTTAACAGATAAGTAGGATTCAGCATCATATCATAGTATAAAAGTAAAAAATCTCTAAAACTAAAGTTGAATCACCAAAATTACAATAAAATTGGGACGACCATGCTACACTTCTTTTGAACTCTTCTAAAATATTTGTACCAAAAGTAAATTTGATCTTCTAATAAATGATAAATAAACTTACAACTTTATACTACAATCAATTCCTGGTAAATGAAAAGGCAATTGCGGGAAGATAGCTAAAGTTGACCAAGTAAATGATAAAGTTGCATTGATTCATGGCTGCACCCTTTCAACTCCTTGATAAATTGCATTACTGCAGCCTTCCAAAGCCTTAGAATTACTTCCATCTTCTCTTAATCAAACCATTGTAATGGAAACATCTATTTTTCCTTGCAATTAAAATTTTCAAGGAGGTTGTCAATGGTGAAACGGCAGAGTACTAGAAAAGACAAAAACATCTTTCCTTCTTTGTTGCACCTTAATCAGAGTTGTATTTAATTCTGTGTTGCCTTTCGCATACCAATTTTTTGAAACTGTTGAGGGAAAGGAGTAACAAAATTGCGGTTTTTACTGGATATGATCTATTAGATTTTGCTACTAAAATGAGTTTCTTTTTTCTCTTTGTAGAATTCTTTACTTAACCTTATTGATTCTTCTTAGATTTTCTGATGATTTTTACATGGCATTTCAATTTATTTCTAGGAATGTTAATGAAAATTTCCCTTATACATATATCAGCTCCACAAAGGATGTGCAGATCATATTTACATTCCAAAAGAAAGAGAAAAGAACTCCTTGCTCTTCTTACCAATATTAGATTAATTTCTCTTAGGGTCTGTTTGGAAAGCCACCTGGTAATTGAAATTGGTGTAATTACTAGGGTAGTAATTACCAGCCTAGTAATTACACTAACATGCTTGTAGTAATTACACATGTCCTGTTTGGATGCCACAGTATAATTACACATGTTTTGTTTGGATGCACAATTGCAATCATAAAATTATATTAAATTAAATTTTAAAAATAAAATTAATTATTTAAAATTTATACTAGACAAATAAGAAACTTTATAAATGATATTAAATTAAATATGTAAGATATATATTATTTTTTGAAAATACATTAATTAATAAACATATGTTCTTAACTAATATTATGAAAAAATAATTGATTTATAATATTTCAATTGAATTGATCATAAAAACTAAAAGTATGAAGTTTCTACGAACATCGTTAAATGCATGTTTGATAAAAAGATTAATATATAAATAAAATGTCATAAATTATTAAAATTTGACAAAAAGATAATCTATCAAGTCTAATTAAAAAATGACTTGCAATGTGAATTCGATATTAAAGTGGTCTATAATCTGGTGGATGCCCAACAAATGGCCTTCATAAAAGGTAGGCAGATCATGGATGCAATTTTGATTGCAAATGAATGTGTGGAGGAGAGAAAGAACAGTAAGGTGCCGGGCATTTTATGGAAATTGGATATTGAAAAAGCCTATGACCACTTGCATTGGGGCTTCCTCTAGAAGTCCTTGGAAAACATGGGATTTGGAGGAAAATGGCTAAAATGGATTAAGTTTTGCACTGCAACAGTGAAGTTCTCTATTTTGATAAATGGTGCCCCCTCTGGTTTTTTCTCATGAGAGAGAGGACTGAGACAATGAGATCCTTTATCTCCTTTCCTTTTTATCCTGGCGATGGAGGGCCTAAATGACATGCTCAGAACAGCCCAAACAAGAGGATGGATAAGAAGATTCAATGCTAATATGAATGACAGACTAAGGTCTGGCCATCTCCCACTTACACTATGCTGATGACACATTGATATTTTGTGATGCAGACAGCTCTCAACTAAAGTACTTGAGAGTAATTCTGATCCTTTTTGAAGCCATCTTAGGCCTACACATCAATTGGGGTAAGAGCTTCATCTTTCCTGTCAATGAGGTGCCTAGGATAAACATGCTTGCAAATATACTAGGGGCGAAGGTAGGAGATCTCCCCACAACATACCTTGGCAAGCCTTTGGGTGACAAGAGCAAGTCAAAAGGTATTTGGAACAACATTCTAGAAAAATGTGAGAAGAAGCTGATGAACTGGAAAAGTCAATATTTGTCCATGGGAGGAAGAGTCATACTCATCAACAGTGTGCTAGATGCTCTACCCACATATATGATGTCTGTTTTCCATATGCCTGCAAATGTGATTGACAGAATGGATGCAATTAGGAGGAATTTTTTGTGGCAAGAAAATTGTGATCCTAATAATCATAAATTCCATCTAGTGAAGTGGGACCAAGTCATTCTCAGCAAAAAGGAAGGAGGTTTGGGGATTAGGAATCTGAAAATCCAGAATCAAAGCTTACTTATGAAGTGGTTATGGAGATTTGCCTCCAAGAACAAGCTCTCTGGAAGGAAACAATAAAGGCTAGGTTTGGTATGGAGAATTTGTGGATCACCAACCTGTCCACACAACCTATGGATCTGGAGTATGGAGATCTATTAGAAATTTATGGATCAAATTCTTTAACAAATGCAAAATCAAGGTAGGGAATGGTGGAAGGACTTTGTTCGGGGAAGACAAATGGGTAGATCAGGTGACTTTGAGAAATAGGTTCCCTATTTTGTTCAACATTAGCCTTCAAAAAGAGGCTACAATCAGAGAAATGAGAGATAATCAAGGGTGGATCTAAGGTTTAGAAGACATCTTAAATGAATGGGAGGTCAATAAAATAGTTGAGCTACTTAACATTCTAGGGCAGTGCAAAGATCTAAACACAAATGAGGACAATCTATTTTGGAATCCAGATGAGCAAGGCAGATTTTCAGTTAGCTCGGCTTATAGAAGCTCACAAAGACCTGGTACTCATATAGGTGGATGGCCTTGGAAGATGATTTGGAAAGTCAAGATATCATGTTTCACTTGGCTGTTAGCCAATCAGGCTGCACTCACTCAACACAACCTCATGAAAAGAGGCATGCAAATTTGTTCTAGGTGTTGGTATTGTGAATGTGAGGTCGAGACAATAAATCATCTCTTTCTACATTGTAGAGAGACTGCGAAGTTGTGGCAAATTTTCATCAACTTAAGGGGCATCAGTTGGACTATGCCAAGAAACATCAAAGAAGCTCTAGCTTGCTGGAACAGAGATGGGAATCAGTCAGGACACAGGGAGAGATGGAGGATCGTCCCCGCCTGCATTTGGTGGTCTATATGGATGGAGAGGAACCAGAGATGTTTTAAAAACAAGAGTTGCTCTATGCAGAATTTGAAGCTGAATTGCCTGGTTCTTTTCTTTTTTTTGGTGTAAACATGAATATCCTCAAGATGCAGACAATATTCCTAGTATTTTAGAGTTCTTATGACCTCCATAGGAGTTCTTTGATTTTTGCAACTTTTGGATGTAAATATTACTAGAATACTCCTTATGTATTCTTTTGTTTATAATACAAGTTACCTTTCTCAAAAAAAATATTACAAAAACAAATGAAACTGAAAATATAACATAAGTTATAAATTCAAAACAGAAAATTTAACATAATACTCTTATTGCAAATTTCAACATAGCATACATAAATATGATTTGTTTTTTTTTTAAAAAAAAAACGTAAGTCTATAACCTTACTTAACAATAAATTCTATTTTAATTTAAAAATTAGAATACTAATAAAATTATGCTAATGAGAAAATAAGCATGGCATAAAGAATAGACAATACGAAATTTTTTTGCATAGAATCACGTGAAGGTTGAGAATGAGAAGAAAATGAAATATAATAATATAAAATAAAAAATAAACTTAGAAATTTTTAGAATAATAAAAATAAAAAAGAACTTAAAATAATAGAAATAAAAACATTAAACAAAAAAATAAAAATAGAAATAAAAAGAACAAACAACAATTCACAGCCTCTCCTTGTGAATTGGAGAGTGTAATTACCCCTGCTAATGGTGGCAAATGGGCGGGTTGGGCCAAATTTGGGTGGGTTGAAAATGGTTCAATTTCAACCCGCCCATATTTGATATGGGTAAAAATTGATTGGGTAACAAATGGGTTGGGTAATTTACCCATATTTTCATGATTAAATAGTACTCTACTTAAGAATTCAACATGGAGAAAATATTTTAGTCTTTTCTTAGATGAAAAATGTTGAAAATGTTTCATTTAGTTTTATTGTATCATAAAAGTAAAAAAAAAATTTAAAAAAATCCTAACTTTTCAATATAAAATAAATTTATGTAATAACAAGGGGAAAATATTTTTGATTTCAAAGTAAATGAATAGTTGCATTTTAAGACTAAAACATGCTTAATGCACTTTAAGCACTGTCAATACTCAATACTAATACATGATTTGCTTATTTTACACTATTCTTTATTATCCAATATAAAATTAAACAAATAAAAATATATAATTATAATTAACAAAAGAAATGTACATTTAAAATATATATTTTTGGAGGGCCAAAGACTTTACCTTTTCAATTATAGAGAAAAATAATTAGTTCTATAGAAGAACATAAAATGGAAGAGAAGTTACAAATTTCTTTTGTGATATCATGAATTTTGAGTGAATAAAAGTTAGAAGCTTAACCCATTTGGCTAATCCATATTTTACCCATATTTTTGTGGGTTGAATATGTGTATCAACCCATATTTTATCCATGTAAAAAGTCACTCACCCAACCCATTAAAATATGGGCGGGTCACCAAAATATGAGCTCATTTTGCCGGCACTACCCCCTGCCAATTACACCATTACCTGCTGACCAAGTAATTACATGTCCAACCAAACAGGAAAGACAGTGTAATTACACCCAATTACACCAAATCCAATTATCAGGGTGGCTTTCCAAACAGGCCCTTAAGGATTCAGCATCATCTAGGAGTTCTTCAGTACACCAAAAGTAAAATTAGAGCAAATAGTTCATCCTAATAATTTGTACCGAGTTGTGGGTTCCTTCAGAACCTTGTGTTTCTTTCCTACCACACAGTCCATCACAGGCAGGCAGGTATTGTTTGCCACCATTGTCTTTGTTTGACATTTCCAATAGTGTTATTCCAACATTTCAGCAGCTCTTTAGTAGACTTTGGCATAGTGCACTTGATTCCTTCCATGTTCAGAAATAGTTGCCACATCAGATCAGTAACTCTGCATTGTAAAAAGAGAGGATTTATGCTCTCTTTTTTTTAGAAAGAAAAAAAAAAGGGTTTATGCTTTTGCTTTATGAGTCCTTCCCAGACAAATCATTTTGAACACAACTGAAACCCCCTTTTCATCAAATTGTCTTGTGACTCAAACATGCTTCTTTTGCAACCAACCATGAAAAACATGCCACCTTATAAGGAATCTTTGCTCTCCAAATGTGTTTTCAAGGCCAATTAATCCCCCTGCTGTCCAGTTTGGTTCAGAAATATGTATGCTGACTTGACTGTGCTGTGCAATCACCTTTCCATGCCTCTACCATATTAATATGTCCTCATTAGCTGTTGTACTTGGGAAAATCATCCAATTTTTTGAAGAACTCAGCTATTCTACTCATTTCCAGTCATCAAACAGACTTCAAAAGCTTAAATTCTACCCCTGTTCCCAGACTTAGTTGCCTCGGACTGTTGATTCAAGCTGAAAAACGTAGAGGAAAAGACCTTTTAGTGGTCCATTGGGCCCAATCCAATTGTCATTCCAAATAAGAAGTGTTTCTCCCATTGCCCACTTTTATCCTAACATTATTGACAAGATAAGGCCAGAAAATTCTAATAGACCTCCATACACCGACACCATAAGCAGAATTACCTTTCTTGAGCACCACTTAACCTCTTCTCCATATTTTTCTCTGAAAACTCTCCTTCACAATGCTTGCTCTTCCAAACTAAATCTCCACAACAATTTCATAAATAAACATTTATTGTGAATTCTCAAATTCTTATGCCTAAGCCCCATCCATCATGCTAATGGTGAGAGTTTTCCACTTGACCATTTCACAAAAATATTGTGCATTCTCAAATTTCTTATGCCTGAGCCCCCATCCATCTTGCTAATGGTGAGAGTTTTCCACTAGACTAAAATAAAGCACCTCTTATCTCTATTAGCTTGCCAAATGATGTTTCTTCCTCAAAGAATCAAGTCTATTCTCAATTTTTGTAGTCAAAAGGAATAATGACATCATGTAAGTGGGTAATGAGTACGGAACTGTGTTTACCGGTATCATCCTACCATCCAGAGATAGATATTGGCAGTTCCACCGAGCCAATCATTTTTCCAACCCTTTCAAGAACTCCATCGCACATCTCCTGCGATTTGTTTTTAATCCCAGGGGCATGCCTAAATAGACAGTAGCAAGACAGCGAGCCTGAATTCCTGTTGCGCCATTTATTGGAAAAAGCAAGATCTTCCTCCAATTCACCTGTAGCCCAGACATCGCTTCAAACACTGCTAAAATGAGTCTCAAATGCCCAAGTTACTCCACTTAGTCAAGAACCCAAGGAATCATCCGTATACAAAAAGTGTGAAACTTCCATGTTGCTTTTTTCATTGAAACCTCTTAACCAATTGTTTTGGTTTAGCAAATTTTATCATGTTTTTTAGCCCTTCCATTACAATAATGAAGAGAAAGTGAGAGGGGATCCCCTTATCCCAATCCTCTTCGGGAGGAAAAAGACCCTTAAGGTGCTCCATCTAACAAAATTAAGAATCGTGCAGTATGATACAGAAGAAGACCCAGTTGACCCATTTGTTACCAAAACCCATATCCTTAAACCTCTTAATCAGAAAGGCCCAATTTACATGATCATAAGCCTTTCTGATATCTAGTTTGCACAAAGCTCTTGGATTCCTCTCTTTCATTCGGGTGTCCACACACTCATTAGCTACTAATGTTGCATCTATTATCTGTCCACCTTTAAGGAATGCCATTTGATGGCTATCCACCAGCTTGTGTATCACCTTCTTAAGTCTCTTGGAGTTTCTATAGGCAAGTTGGAGATAATATTGTATACACTTCCTATTAGGCTGATAGGTCAAAAATGACTTAGCTCCGTAGCCCATTCTCTTTAGGAATTAGAGCCACATGTCGAATTAAAACTTCTCTCAAAAATTTCTCTTGAGTGGAAATTTTCCAAGTGTCATTATAAGGTCACTCTTGATGAACCCTGGTGTCTTATTAAGCACACATCTTGAATTCTTGATACAGTCTAATATCTCCTGTTCTTTTCAAATGGCCGTTGTAGACACTACTACTCTTCCACATTGATTTTAGGGCATTTCAGACAGGTGAATTGGGTCTCCAATCTTCAATTTCATCATATAACTTTTGATAAAAGGACACTACCTCCCTTTTGATAGCCACTTGATCTTCTACAGGTTCACAACTTACTACAAGCTGTGAACATTTGCCATTTGTTGGGGAAAAAATTGTGTTTCTATCATCCTACTTTAGCCATAGAAACCTTGACTTCTGTCTCCCAGCTATCTCTTCATTATTGCATTCTCCTGTATCTCCATGAATAAGCTAACCTTGGGTATCAATTCCTCCACTTACAATTCTAAGTTCTTGAATGCTATCCAGTTCTGACATTTGATCCAAGAGCTTAGTTTTATTCTTCCTCAAGCTGTCAAAATTAGTAGAATTCCATTCCTTTAGTTTCCATTTAAGTGCTTCAGCTTGCAAGGATGAAATCAGTCTACCATAAACTTCAAAGAAGACCACCAAGACTTCACTTTATCAGTGAACCCTTCAACCCCCAACCACCAGTTTTCAAACTTGAAATATGATTTTGAATCTCCCCATTCCCCACACTGTAATGAATGGGAGTATGATCAGAAAAAGCCTGGGCAACACAGCTTGTCTAATATTTTTGAATGTCTCGTCCCACTTTGTTGAGAATAAGAACATATCGAATCCTGAAGAGATCTGTTGATTATCCCCTTTTGTCCAGGTAAACTGTAAATCTTGACAGTTCAGTTCGTAGCCATCGTCAGAGGAAAGAACTAGTATTACAAGAATTCATGAACTGTAAATCTGGCAATTCCTACCAGGATGGTGGGTCAGAGCGGGATCCTCCACTGAGGGGAGGATCTATGAGCTCCAAGTCGTCAATGAAATCTGAAAATCCGAGCATATCCCTTGTGAGCCTGTTGTTGTTTCTTCTTTCTGTACAATACCATGTAATATTATGATATTCACACACCACCAAATGTCCTGCACATACTCTGCTAGTTGCTGCAATTTTCCACCATAGCTTCATATAAAGTTGTGGGGTACCAGCGACAATTTAGTTGAACTGAAGCTAATTGAACAGTAATAGTATAGACACCTTTGTTTATTACTTTCCTCTTCCCATACCTTGAGCAAGCTGATGAAAGTGTGGCATATTTGTTTTTGAAGTGTGTGGTCTCCTCAACAATTTGGAGAAAGGTACTAGGCTGGCAAGGAATAACAAGGCATCCCATGGAGTGGTATGAAGAGTTGCAAGGGACTATCTCATTCTATAAAGGCAATAGTGCAGCTGCAGAAGTATACAGAATGTGCCTGGCCTGTGCTACATATCAGATTTGGAAGGAAAAGGAATACCGGGATCTTTCAACAGAAGCAGAGGAGTATAGAAGCAGTGATCAAGCAGATTGTACACGAAGTGCATGTTCAAGGTGCAACACGACTGAGAGTAAACAAAAGTTAGATAGTTTGAATTTTTACCCTTAGCTGATGTAGCAGGGTAGTTAGTTAGTAAGGACTGGAACTTGTTGCTTAGTTGCAGTTTTGATTTGTTTTGTGTTTTTCTCCTTCTTTGAGCTGTTCAACTGTTACTTTGTGAATAAAATCGTCCAATTATTTGCCAAAAATAAAGGATCATTTTCATAACTCAACATAATGTTCAATTAAATGCATGTGATATTTTTAAATTGTATACTCATTGATATACGGTACAAGCACAAAACACATGGCCAAAGACTAGTTGTGAGTGGTTTGGGCTTGGGACTTCCATGTTGGAGGTCTCAAGTTCGAAACCCTTGCTTGCGAAAGCAAAGGGTTTGCCTTCTAGGTTGAGCTCGTCGCACCGGCCTTGCCTAGTGCAGGTTACCTCTCCTATGCGGTTTGCGAGCTATTGCATAGGAGCGGGAGTTTTACCCTGTGCGCACCCAAAGGGTAGCGGTGGCAGGTTTCCTTGTCATAAAAAAAAAAGAAAAAAAAAAAAGGAATGATGATTAGAAGAAAAAGAAACTGGAACTATTACAAATGTGGTGGGCAAGGGGGTGGTGGTAGCTTATTTGTAGGAATGCAATAGGCAAAATTAAAGTCTCCATTTGGTTACTCCTTTAATTTCAGTTGTTTAGGTAGTTTCAATTCCCAAAAGTGGCTGTTAAACAACCATAATTAGAAGTAAATAAAAACTTTATTGTGATTAGCAGCTCACCTTAGCATATGATGCAACCAAAACACTGCCACTATCATGCCAATGCAGCATGAAGACCATAGCCACCTCCTATGATGTTTTGATTCATGCAATAAGCCCTTTATGGTCATTAAGCACGTCATAATAGCTGCCCAATCTGAGAATTTTTCCAGTGAATGCCAACAATTAGGCTGTGAAATATTTCTTTTAGTGACAAGGGAACCTGCAGCTGCTACCCTTCAGGTGCACACGGTAGGCCATGAAATATTAAAAACTGCTTTCTCATTTACTAATGATAGAATATATTTTCAGCAAATTTAAGACTAAAAATAATGATCCTCTAAGATTATTGCCAAAATAATCATCTGCAGGACATGCTCTTTATGAAATAGGAACAATTGTCTTTCAACGGAAGAAATAATCAAATGCTAGCCTGCTTAAAAGCTTTTTCACCCCTAACCAAGAAATAATTTTAATAATTACCAGTACCTTATCTGAGGTCACCAAGTCAGTTCCCTTGTTCATTGATTTTGTTTTTTGGTTTTATTTTCCATTTATCTACTTTTCAGAGGGTAAAACATGGTCAACAGAAGTTTCCAGTAGTGCTAGAAATAATTTAAAGCTTGTGCCCCTCCAAATGAAGGAGGGGGTTACAACCATGCAAGAGATTACTTGTTAAGTAAGCTTATACCAACACCCTTTTTCCAGACTCTAGCAAAAGATTTCTAGAATTTAGTTTACAAAGTTCTGATTTCACAAGATGTCTTTTGGAGTTGATATTATGATCACTTCAGAACCATTAATGGGAAGTTAGAACTATTTAGCATGGGCTTCATCGATTGAGTTGCGATGCAAGGGTCAACGTGCCCAAGATCACTTAACAAACAATGATAGTGTGGTAGATGAAAAGACAAAGGCTATTGAGGAAGATGGAAAGGCCAAAGCACAATGGGAGAAGGTTGATGCTTAATTATGTAGTCTCCTACGACGATCTATTGATTCCAAGTTGATGTCCTTGTTTCATCCATTCCAGACATGTTATTCAATTTGGGAAAAGGCTTATGTTTTATACACTAATGACATATCTCGTTTTTATGAGTGATATCTCAAATGACCAACTTAAAGAAACAATAATCCAATATGTCTACTTACTTGGGCTAGGTGCAGGCAGTCACAGGGATTTGAAAGGTTGATGTTAGTCACTATGAATGTGAAAAAACAACAGGAGCACAGAGCGATGTTGTTTCTAGTTCTACGATCCCATCACAAAGTGGTTTCGTCATCCATCATTAACTCCTTTTTTCTCAGATCTCAAACCATAGAAAATCGAACATCTCAAGCTATGGAGAGTCAACAAGGAGGAGGTCGCTTTGGAAGATCTCGACCTAACTGTAGTTATTGTCATAGGCTTGGACACACTTGTGACATATGTTATACTCTTCATGATGAGTTCCTTTAGTATCGAGAAAGTAAGCGAACATCTCCACAAGTAACCTCGGTTGCTCAGCCTTCTCGACCACCTTATAATGCTCATATTCCTCAAAGCCTCAAACAGAATATAATGAGTTCCTTCACTATTGAGCAAGTAAGCTAACATCCCCACAAGCAGCCTCGTTTGCTTGCTTATGTTTCACAGTCTACTAATTTTGGACCATGGGTCGTGTATTTGGGTGTGCTTTTGATCGTATTTTTGGTAACAAATCACTTTTGTCCAATATTGTTTATTCACAATCTCTTCCTACAAATACTTTAGCCAATGGGATCTAGACAAAACCAAAAGGAGTTGACAAGCTAAACCCTTGTCCTCTATCACTTTAAACTATGTTCTTTATGTCCCTGATTGTCCTTTTAATTGTGCATCTGTTAGTCATGTGACGCATGCCTACATTGTGCCATAACATTATTTGATGATTTTTTCCACAGGTATGACCGCAGTACGAGACAAACAATTAGCGGAGGGCTGAGGGCATGAATCACAAGGCCTCTACGACCTTACCTCTCCAAATTCCTCCACAAAATGCTCCATTACAAATCCTTCAAACCTAATTCACAAATGTATGGGCCATCCGAGTGTATCCAAGCTATAGATGATGGTGTCGAGTTTGTCTAGTCTATCCACATTAGATTATGAGTTGTATCAACTTGGGAAACACACCCACTCTACCTTTCCACATAGTCATTCAAAGTTTTTTCATTAGTTTTGATATTTGGGGTCCTAGTAGAGTTAGTTCAACCTTGTGATTTTGTTATTGTTAGTTTCAATAATGATTATTCAAGATGTAATTGGATTTTCTGAAAGATCATTCTAAAGTATTTTCTATATTCAAGAGTTTTAGTGTTGAAAAACAAAATCAATTTGGATGAGTTGAGGGGGTGGCTTGCCCCATTGTTGAGTGATGCCACTCCTCCATGGATTGCAGAGGGTATGGTGATTGAGAAGAGGGACATAATTGTGGTTGTGCGATATTGGCTAGGATTCATCTATAGCTCATTGATGTCATCTCAAAATGAGTCTATTATTCGCCACTTGTTGGGTTCGATCATAGAGCGGGAGCAACTTAATTTGGGGATGATTATTGCTTCGGCGATCGCAATGCGTGCACAACAAAATCAGACTTCTCTCCATTCCCATGCCTCATTATTGAGTTGTGCCAAAAAGCAAGTGTTCCTTTTATGGCCAATGTTGACTCACGCAGCCAACCTGAAGATGGCTCACATAGCACATTCAACAGATGTGCGAGCTTCCTGTTTGAAGGCTCAGGTACCCATCATGATTAATAGAGCGATTGAGTACCCTTGCACCTCTCTGGGAGGAGATACAGGGTTATATGAAGACTTAGCACACATACGAAGAGCACATTGATAGGTTAGCTTCTAGGGTTGATGAGCGTAAGCAGCAACATAGCATTGGTATAGGTGTTGATTGGTCGGCCTTAAGGATGATATTACTTAATTGCAAAAGGATGTGGATGAGTTGAAATCCACCAATATCTTGTATTTGTGGACTGATAATAGTATCCTCGAGGATACACATATGGAGGTACCTCTGGCTACTGTGACTAGTGTTGTACAGCCTTGAGTGATAAAGGATGTAGATGCCTCTAAGACTGATGAGGAAGAGTTGGGTGTCGAGCACCAGACTGAGCCCGTTGCATAGACAGTTTTGTTATTTAATGGAAGGGTTCCCATCACTGAGGCCATGAAAAATCAAAGAAGGTTTGAATGATGTTGTGTTTAAAAAGTAGTGAAATAATAAGAGTCGTGATAATGCTTCAAGAAGGTAGTGTCACTTTAATCAAAAAAAATTCCTACCTTGCCCAATAACCTCATTACAAGCCAATGAAAGACCTTCTGATCCCGCGAGAACTAGTTCATTGATCGTTTGGAAAATATGAGCAAGTTTATGGGTTAACACATGCATGTTATTCTCTTTGTGAGTACGAGTGTTTGTTGTGATCCTTGGATGATAAAATGCACGTTGTTTGTGAGAGCAGGGGATCATTTTTTGTGTGAAGACACTCAAGTACATTTGTCGAGCATAATTTTGCATCTTAGTGAGCTATTGTGAGCATTTGCTTTAATTGATAATGGTTAGTCAATGCTTGAAGCTTATAATGCAATAATGCATAATTGGAAGTTGTGAGCTTTAGAGCTAATCCAATGATCCTTGAGGTCATTCGGATAACACTTGCATGCTAACTCTAAAGTAGCACTTTTTGTAGACATCTTTGTTGAGCTAATTGATATGATGTTTTACTTGAGGACAAGTAAAGGTTAAAGTTGGGGTGTTGATGAGTCGAAGATTTACGACTCATTTAAAATAGCTATTTCATCAAAAGTAATGTCCTTGATGCCCATTTATATCCTTTTCTGATCATAATGTGATTATTTTTCATCTATGGGAGATTATGGAGTGGAAAGAGATAAAAAAGAAGCCAAAAAGATGGAAGTAGGCAAAAATTACGTTGAGCATCGCCAATGTAACACGGCGCATCACCGAGTGGAAATTAGATCGCCGAAAGTAATAGTTCATATCCCTAAGTTCATCTCAATTTGGCGACAAAGAGCAGTCGGTGCATCGCCAAACCAATTCGGCGAAGGACTGAAACATCGCTGAATTGCATAGTAGCCTAAAGGAAGAATCAAGTTTTCAAGTCAGATTGGCGAGGAAGATGACCATTTGGCGCATCGCCGAACAGTTAGGCAAGCTAGCTCGAGTTCACCGATTGGACTTGAAGAGCAATTTCTTGAAGAATCTCTTGAATATATAAATAGATTTTTGAAGTGAGAGAAAACCAACTTTTACATTCTAAATTTTTGAGTACCTTTTCTGCAAAAAAAACCTTACCATTAGGAAGAAGCTTGTATTGGGAGATTTTGAGGAACCTTCTTTTGATTGAAGGTTTTGAAGATTCAACTATTTAGGAATTCAGCACAAGTAGTTATTATGGCAGATAACTACGGTATATCATCTTTAATCCATGCCATGAACAGCTAAAATTCCTTAGTCTTAGGGGTGTGCAATGTATGAATGACTAATCTACACTTTTGTGCTGTTTAATTGCTTATTAAATGTTGAACTGATTTGGGTTCAGTTGTCTCTTTATGTTCTCATATAGAATTTGAGGTTGCAAACTCTAATTTATTTTAGATCTCTCATGTTGCAAGCGAAAGGACATTAGAGTGAGAAAAGATAGTTGATAATGACTCGATTGAATTCGTTTGACAGTTGTAACTTGAAATAGTTTAGTTGAATTAGAGTGTTAGTTTGGTTTTAATGGATTACATGTTGGGGTTTGATGAAACCCATATGATTTGTGATAGTTGATTGACAAATAGCTATCATTATCTATAATCTAGCTTACTTGATGACATTCAACTAATTCTAGCAATTATCAATACCCAAGTTGCAAGATTATAGTTCATGCTAGCACACTCCTAAGAGTCTCCACACACTTGTGATAAAACCCTATTCTAAGATTGCGGTTGTTAACTTGTAGTGATTAAGTAATCATTCAGATTTTGCATTCAAATTGTTACTCAAACCTCCCCCTCCCCCTCCCCTTACTTTCATGCATAAATTGTATAAATGTACAAACTTCTAGTGAGACAAAACACATTGTAAGGCGAATTATATTCAACCATTCCCAGTGGAATTGACTCCAACACTTAGTTGGGTTATATATTGCAAATGATTGTCTACGCATTGATTTTAAATGTGTAGTTGAACGTTATCATGCACCAACTTGAGGGGAAGTGTTAGAATAGGAATAGTATGGAGAATCCTACTTGGATAAGGTTTGTAATGTAGTGCCTATAAGTAGGCATAGTGTAATGATGTAGATACACAATACATAATATTTTTCAATTATATTTCTCACAAGAATAGTATCTAACATTTTGGGAAGTCCTGCAATAGAAAGAGTCATATAATTTGGAACGAGGAGTACCATTTCTTCATAAATTACTGAAGTGATTTAACTGAACCATTGAGTTAATAAGCAAGTGAACAATGAGATGAAAATAACTCAAAGGGTATCTATGTGTCTATTGTATTCAACCTTAATACTATGGGCCACATCATGTTGTATCCACCATAACCCTCTATAATTTTACCATTGTCATAATAAAGCCCAATGTATCACAAGGCTTGTCTTCCTAGAAAGAAAGGAATAAAATTGCAGGAAATTTACAGTAGGCATGACAGTGTTGTCAAAGACGCTCTCATGCCCTGAAGCAAAGCTCAAAACATGTTGAGCGCTTCATCTCGCGTAATGTGCACTTTAGTGTTGTCATCAAGGTTTTAAGGCATAATTTTCCTTGCTAATGAGCCTCTTCTGAAGAGGCAACACTAAGCAATTGTTATTTCATTTTATCATTAAAAAGAAAAATCAATTCCTTTATTCATATATTTGGATTTGGCTTATAAGAATTAGTCTTGGATTAAACATACATATTTATATTTGTTTTTCTCCCTTTGCGCCTTTTTTCATTAAAGCCCACTCTTTATTTGTTCTTTGCGCTTAAAGCCCTAAGAAACCTAGAGCTTTTTTGCCCTTTCTGCTTTTGATAACACAAGGCTATGATCAGAAACAGGTGCTATGTTCAAAGTGATCTTTTAGGCAATGAATAAGCTGCAATGCCAAAGAAAAGAGGGAAATAGTAAAAGAGAAAACCTGCAGCAATGATGGTCCAAGCGTCAACTTCATACATGAAGTAAGCATGATATCGCTGGTAATCATATAAAAATTCAGAAATTAGCAAGCATTAATGAGGACGATATTGTATGTAGTAGATACTTGACAATACTTTGTACTCTTTAGAATTTACAATCACCTCTTCAGTTGAAAGTAAGTGCTGTCATACAATTAGCCCAAGGCTTTTATTAAGGGAAAAAGTGAACGTCTTATACATTTTATACTTTTCGAACAAATACACTCCTAATTTTACTATATTTATCACATATGCCCCTACTTTTAATGGAGGTTTATCATGGCAAGGACCCAACTATTGAATCCTATGTGGCCTAGCATTTGTGTGAGGTTGACGCCACATGCGTGCCACCTCACTACCCTTACCCAATTTTACCCCCTCCCAATAATTCTTGCTTCCATAATTTGATTCCACCATAAACCCCATCAAATTACCCTCTCCTGCAACACTACACCAAAAGAATCCATCACACCCGAATTTCGTTTCCCAACAACACCTGCAATGCCATCAGCTTCCCCAAGTCGAGAACCACCCAGCCACCTATCTTAAACCAAAACTAATGGAAGAAGAAAAATCAACAATATAACCAATGTAATCCCACAGGTGGGGTCGGTTCTGGGGAGGGTAAAGTATACACAAACCTTACTCCTACCTCTTGAAGGTAGAGTGGAAGAGGAAAAATCATTTAAAATTTTCAGAAAATAAATATAACATAATAAATTTAGTCAAACCCTTCTTACTTCCAAAAAAAAAGAGAAACCCACAACCAAACACAATCTTTATGAATACTCAACTGAAAACACTAAGAAAATACAAAAAAGAGGAGGGGGAGTGAACGACTGCAAGTAAATCAAGAAAGCCCAAAAGGCCAAAATGGAAATTTATTGAATCAGCCACCAGCTCCCGTAACAAGAACAGTGCTTGGTCTTCAAATCAACCATGGCCAAAACTAAGAATCTGCTAAATTTTCCTTTTTTCTTATAAATGAAACATGTGATGAGGTAGTTGCTAGAAGTGAGGACAACTCTATAAGTTCATAATTTATGAAACTCTAACTCTATGGACTTCCCTGTTAAGGTCACTATGTTCCAAGAACTTACTCTCAATCTAGAAGCTCCCTTAATCCACTTACCACCCCTAACCCTCGCCTCCATCCCCAACCGAGAACATGACCCTAGTCTACAATCGTTCCCTAAAGCAAATAAAAACTAGTCAAGGGTTTACACTAAACACGCAGGAATCAATAGTAAAGAACAAGCAAGAACCTAAAGGCCAAGATCGATAAGGAAGGAATTCAAAGGGAACGCAAGTAAGAATCTAAAGGCACAAACAAACTGAAACAAATTCTAACAAAATAATCAAAAGAGACAATTAATTTAGTAAACCTAAAGACACAACTGAAACAAATTCCAATCTATGAGCAAGAGTGAAAACGAAATTAGACAAAGCAAAAGCAAGATAATCAAAACAAGTAACAACGCATATACCAAATGGGGGGGAGAAAAGAAAGATTAAGGGATAGAAATCACTGGGATTGGGTATTGGTTGGTTTTGTTGGTCGATTTGATGGATTCCGGCTAAATCTATTGCTGAAATTAGTCGCCAGAAACCGGTCGGATCTTACCCACATCGAGAAGGAGGGGAGGGGTCGGTTGAGAAGAGAGAAGTATGAAGAGATTATCTATTGTAACCGGTGAAAGAGGTGGTCACCGATGGTGAGCAATTGATGCTTTAGCACATAGAGAGAAAGAAAGAGACGTTAGAAGACCAATTCTGATGGTCTCCGGTGGTGTGAATGGTGGCTGCCTTAGTGGAGAGAGAGAGTTGTATTAGAACTATTATAATAAAAATCCATCATAGGTTTTAAGATTTTGTTTTAAGTTTCTAGTGCTTGTACTCCTGCTTCTAGACTACTTGTTCATCTATTTCTTGGATGGCTGCATTCAGATTACCCAAACTACTTGAAGGATTCTTAGTTTATTATAAGTCAAGTTTGTAGTTTCAGTTCTCTGTTTCCAGTCCTGAGGTCCACCCTTACGTTTTCACTCGGGCTAGTGGGAGAGATGAAAATGAAGAAAACTGAATAAGCTAACAAAAGTGCTATTGAAAATTAATGAGTTAAAACAAGACTTATTACTTTAGACCTATGACCATAATCAATGATTCAATATGGAAAGTCTAGTAATTGGGAATAGTGAAGAAGTAAAGAACCTTTTTTATATAGCCGTGGTGTCGGGGCCAGCTTGTACGCACCTCGGCTAATTCCATGAGATACTTGTCACCTCTCACTAGCAATAAGTACTTGGTAAATCTCTACAAGGATAGGGAAGATAGAAGAAATCACCTAATATCTTGTCTTTGTTGGGATTTTAACTTGAAACCTCATGTTCAGAGTATATAGATGACCTTGTGGCTATTGTAGACATTCTAGGGTCCTTATAAAGATGAAGGAGGATCTAGGGATAGTTTCTTTTTTCTTCTTTCTTTTCTTTATCTTTTGTTTATGCCAGACAGACAAGAGTGGAGGTAGGATATAATGTAAATTTTTGGATACCAGCTTTGAGCTGATGATTGATATGCAAATGTTACCTTTATCAAACAAAAAAAAACCTCATGGTTCTCAACAGACTTCATTGACCACTAGGCAAAGAACCTTATCAGGAAAAAAAAGAAATAAATAGTTAAGCAATACAAAAGTTCAAAATAATAATATTTCTCCTCTCATCATTCTCTGAACTCGCATTAAAGCTAAATGATAACACTAAACCTTTTAAAAGGAATGCTTTGCAAGCAAATCCCACTGGTAGAACAAAGATGAGCTCAAAGCTCTTCGGCTTCCCCCAATGAACTATATTGCAAATCATTTCAGTAGAAGAGTCTCAAAAATCCTTGACATATTCATAAACATGAATGGTGTTACTCATTAATGCCCATGGATTTGATCTATTAGTAAGAGTACAACATGTACGAAGCTTGGTATTTAAGTAAGGCATAGGGATGGGTCCATTATTCATCAAGTTTTGAACCGTGTAACACTGGCCCTTGAGTATTTCTTGGTTATCAAAAATAAATAATGGAAAACAACTAAACCAAAAACTCTCTATCAAAACAAAAACTATGTAGACATTTCTTCTGTGTACATGGTATTTCTCAGTTAAACTGGATATATTTCCAGTGAAGCCTCTTGATTAAAAAATAATTTCTACTGAAGCCTCAGTTTCCCTCAGGGTTCATAATGTTCCTGTTCTCCAAGCTTGATTTAGTTGCTCACATGAATCCATGCTCTACAGGCTTGATTTCAGGGCACCAGCTACATGAATGGGCCAGATAATGATTGGTAATGACCAAGGAACTGTTATAATTCATGAGTCTGTCATACGGCACTCATACTTGAGCACTCTTCCTATTCAAATCATCTTCATTTCACTGAAAAAGGCTCCTTGTTTGGTATGGAGGAATATATTTTCCAGTGAATACATTTCCATACTAAAATTATTTTCTCACAATTGGTTACGACACATCACTTTCTATGGCCAAATCAGCATTCTCATACCTCAGAATCCACTTAATATACTTATCACCTGCCACATGCTTTATACCATACAAACACATGAATAATGTTATATTAGTATGATCTAAAATGTGTTTTATTATGACATCAGTACAATGATTTATTCATTTGTCCATTAATCTTGCCTACGCCACTGCTTGTTACCTTCCCGTTTGTCCCACTAACTCTTGGTTTTTGTTTGCTTCTTGCATACAATTGACAAGATACAAGGTGAAATACATCTGTATAAGGAGCAGAGGAATACCAATTCCCAGGGATAATAGGCCTGTTGATAGACTGAGTATAGGAGAAAAGCCACATAACACGAGAGTAGCCCTGAGAACACACCCTGCGTGACATGAAAACAGGTTAATAAGACAAGCTAAAAGGCAAATAATTCCAAATTTGTAAAATTTTAGATGTACCCTCCAGAGAAGAGATTGCTGGGTTTGAACATTCTCGAGAGATCGAACCAATTCTTCTTGTTCTGCAAATCAAACATAAACAGATAAAAAAAATCCTAATTAATTAGAGATTGAGGATTTTTACTAACAAAGATTAAAGAAGCCATGGATGACCTTGGGAATCAATGGGACGATTTTCGTCGCGAGTTGGCAAAGAGAATTTATCGTCCTCGTCGAAATGAGATTCTCGTGGAGATTTTCTCCATTTTCTGGTGAGCTTCTGCATTATCCCCTCCTTATGTCTTCGACTTTTTAGGACTTTGAGCAAAGCTTTTCCTGCCGGGCGACGCCGTTTAAGCAGTGGAGTATTGTATCATCTACGGGCGAGAAAATGATCAAAATGATCCTTCATGTACGGGGATTGAATTATTTTGGTCCTTAAATATACCACCTGATAGAAATAGTCACTAATATATGTAAAATGAGTATTGTTTTGGTCCTCAACCCTAAAATTAATTGTTCTCTGTTAAAAACTAACAGTTCATTCCTTTGTTCTGCCCCATTTCTATTTATCTCTTAATTGCATCATCTTCCAAAAATAGATTTAAATTCAACACTCATTGGAATACTTGGATGAGAAATTCAGTGGTACTTATTTGAGCAGAATGTTTCGTTTTCTCGTAATGATTTATGTTTTCTGATAATGGTATGAATGACTATTTTTTAGAAACTTTGATTCAATTAAAAAAAAGAGAGAGTTATCGATTTGAGGATGATTCATAGGATAAAATTGGTAATATAATGACACAGAGCAGTATTAGATCCAAGCTCAAGGATGGCATACCTGATACACCCACAAAAAATTATCCATTATTTTGTTATTATTATTAACTTATAATCTCTTTTGAATGAATTAGATGGTTTTTGGGTTGACTGAGGCTAGTTAGTTAATTCTATGAAACATGAAATTAGCAGGTTTGCGCCCTTTTACTGAATTCGTGTATTTTCAATTTGACCCACAAGCTCGAAGTTGTTTAAGAGAAGAAGAAAAAAATATTTGTTTTGGTTGCAAAAACTATGAATTAGTACTTTGAATAAGCTTCATATAGATAGGGTGGACTATGATCCTCTTATTGAGTAAGAACATATACTGAAGAAAAGAACTAGGAAGAGGGCGGGCCAAGCAAAGAGAAGAGAATTGCACTTGGGAGGTGGATCGTTAGTTTTAACAGAGAATTGTTAAATTTAGGGGTTTGGATCAAAGTGATACCCATTTTGCATACATTAAGGACTATTTCTATCAAGTGATATATGTTAAGGATCAAAATAATTCAACTCAAATACATGAAGGACCATTTTGATCATTTTCTCTCTACAGGCTACCAGTTAAAACTAGGGGAAATCACTTACCTGTATACTTATTAAAAAATATTTACTATATTTGTCAACATTATTTTTTTAACCATATATGACAATTTGGTTGAATTAAATTAAATTCACTTCGTCCTTTCCATCTTTTGCTCCCAATTTTCTCTCGCCACTTCTTACTCACAATTTTCTTCACAAATACGGCTATACTACCTTCAGAGATGTGTATTCAGTGATCAGTTTTCAGACAAATCAAGTCGAGCAGAGAGTTGAATTTGAAGTTTTTTGAAGTTTGAAAGGTTAGAAGCTTTAAATTTGATTGCATGTCTTAGTTACTTGTTTAATTCATGCTTAATTCTGTATCTCGGCTATACTAACCTTCAGCGATGTGTATTCAGTGATCAATTTCGAGATGAATCAAGTTCGGGCAGAGAGTTGAGTTTGAATTTTTTTGAAGTTTGAAAGGTTAGAAGGTTTAAATTCGATTGCATGTCATTAGTTACTTGCTTAATTCAAGATTAATTCTCTTTCTCGGCTATACTAACCTTCAACGATGTATTCAGTGATCAATTTCGAGATGAATCAAGCTCGGGCAGAGAGTTGAGTTTGAAATTTTTTGAAGTTTGAAAGGTTAGAAGGTTTAAATTCGATTGCATGTCATTAGTTACTTGCTTAATTCAAGATTAATTCTCTTTCTCGGCTATACTAACCTTCAACGATGTGTATTCAGTGATCAATTTCGAGATGAATCAAGTTCGGACAAAGAGTTGAGTTTGAAATTTTTTGAAGTTTGAAAGGTTAGAAGGTTTAAATTCGATTGCATGTCATTAGTTACTTGCTTAATTGAAGCTTAATTCACTCTTCTAATTCAACTTTAATACACTTTTAATACAAGTTTAATTCATTTTTGCAGTTTGTTGGTTGATTTGTTATGATTTGACGACTTGTTTAAATTCTTTCTTAATTCACTCTTCTTATTGATTTTCTTGGTTAATTCATAATAGATTCAAGTTTAATTCAATATATAGAACACTCTCTCGTCGTTTCCTTAGTTATTTGTTTAAATTTTGTTCTTAATTCACTCTTCTAATTCAACTTTAATACATTGTAATACACTTTTAATACAAGTTTAATTCATTTTTGCAGTTTGTTGGTTGATTTGTTATGATTTGACGACTTGTTTAAATTCTTTCTTGATTCACTCTTCTGATTGATTTTCTTGGTTAATTCATAATAGATTCAAGTTAAATTCAATCTATAGAACACTCTCTCGTCGTTTCCTTAGTTATTTGTTTAAATTTTTTTCTTAATTCACTCTTCTAATTCAACTTTAATAGACTTTTAATACAAGTTTAATTCATTTTTGCAGTTTGTTGGTTGATTTGTTATGATTTGACGACTTGTTTAAATTCTTTCTTAATTCACTCTTCTGATTGCTTTTCTTGGTTAATTCATAATAGATTCAAGTTTAATTCAATATATAAAACACCCTCTCGTCGTTTCCTTAGTTATTTGTTTAAATTTTTTTCTTAATTCACTCTTCTAATTCAACTTTAATACATTGTAATACAAGTTTAATTTATTTTTGCAGTTTGTTGGTTGATTTGTTATGATTTGACGACTTGTTTAAATTCTTTCTTAATTCACTCTTCTGATTGGTTTTCTTGGTTAATTCATAATAGATTCAAGTTTAATACATTGTAATACACTTTTAATACAAATTTAATTCATTTTTGCAGTTTGTTGGTTGATATTTTATGATTTGACGACTTGTTTAAATTATATCTTAATTCACTCTTCTGATTGCTTTTCTTGGTTAATTCATAATAGATTCAAGTTTAATTCAATCTATAGAACACTCTCTCGTCGTTTCCTTAGTTATTTGTTTAAATTCTTTCTTAAATCACTCTTCTAATTCAATTTTAATACAGTGTAATACACTTTTAATACAAGAACACTCCCCTGTCCTTCCCTTGTGCACACTATTCCTTTGCCATTTTGGTGCTTGTGCTTGCACTACAATTTGGATATCAACAGGCACTGGCAGGGGAGTTGTTGAGTCTGGCATCTCTAGTCATCTGTTCTATGTTGTAACACCCCGTATCCGAAAATGGAGATTTCAGATTTCTGGTGTTACAGGTGGCACTCACGGACACCATCCACGGACCGTAGATGGACGCACGGTCCGTCCTGCAGGTCCGTGATTCGTGACAGAAAACTTCCCCAGAACTCAGTCAGAAAATTTGGCTAAGTGTTGACCCACGGCCGGACTTACGGTTCGTAAGTCAGGTCACGGACCGTAGTTCGTGTCCGTGGATCGATGCCCCAAAAGCCCAGCTTCAGTCCCGAACTACGGTTGACCAGCACGGACCGTCGTTCGATCCACGGTCCGTAGGTCTGACCGTAGATCGAAGATTAGCAGCCAGTTAGCTGAAAATTCTGATGGGTCAACTTCAGATGGTCATAACTTTTAGCACAAAATGAATTATGTGTCCCATAACCTATGGTTAGATAGATAATTGAATTATCTTTCCAACTCCACCGAGTTTGCTAAATTCCGACCTCCGAGTAAAAAGTTATGCCCATTTTAGTGAAGACCTGTCGGGCAGACTTGAACTACGGACCCAATCTACGGACCGTAGATTGACCTACGGCCCGTAGGTCCAAACCGTCGGTCACTCCGACAGCAGTTAATTCAGGGGTCTTTTGGTCTTTTCCTATTTCGTTTAACCCCTAAGATACGTCGTTTAGACCCTAAATCATGAGGTTTTAATTAGTTTAAGCCTAGAAACATAACTAGAACTTACCTAAGTCAAATTCATTAATCAAAACTTAGAAAATTAGAAGCAAGAAGGGAGAAAAAGGTCAAGAACCCTAGTTCAAGAACGCAGCAAGTTTCCTTCAGTTCCAGCCCTGAAATCGAAAGATTTCTCCGTGGAATTCGTCACCAGGTATGTGGGATTTCACTAGTGGGTTCCTTTCGCCCATTAGGTCCCTAGAATTCAGTCAGATTCTTGATTCCCTTATTATGAACAGGCCTAGGGTTTCTAGAATTATAGCAGATCATCATGAATTAGTTATTTAAATGTTCCAAATCAGATTATCATGTTATTGCTCAGTTTATCGCATGAATTTCAGAACCCTAGCTATGTATTTCTTTAGTTCTTGAATTACACATGCTAGGTCAGATATTTCAGTATTCAGTTTTACATGCCTCAGTTTATGAATGCATCATTATCAGATTAATTGTTGCATTCTCAGTTTGCATGTTCAGTTTCGAGCTATCCAGTATTTACAGAAATTCAGTCATAACCAGTTAACTACTTAATTCATTGGGAGTAGCATAATACCGAGTTGGACTAGGGTTTCAGCGTACCCATATAGTCCCAGAACTACGAGCCACGTAGGTGTAAGTCCCCTCTGTGGGCAACATCAGTTTAGTGATCACGCCAGCATGCCTTTATACCTCTGGCAGGGTATATTGGGTCCTCTCGATGGGGCGTATACATCGGACTCCACATTTAGCTCATGTGGTTTTATGTCGGTTATTAGTAGCTCCCACAGTTTAGTCAGACTCTATTGCATTGACCATATTTCAGTACAGTCAGTATTCAGTCTCAGCATGTTATAAATTTGGTCATTGCATTCAGTTAGCTCAGTATTCAGTATTTCAGTATCTATATCATGTTCAGATTATATCATTGCTCAGTATGCTTTGTTCAGTTATATGTTCTTTCAGCTTTACTCTATCCTGCATGCTCAGTACCTTTCAAGTACTGACGCATACGTGCGCTACATCTTCTCGTGATGTAGGTTCAGGTTCTCAGCATCCAGATCACGCTTAGATCGATTCCCGATCTTCAGTTCAGCAGAATCAGTTGGTGAGTCCTCATTCTTCGGGGACAATAGTCATGAGTTTCTTTCAGTATTTTAGTCCTTTAGTTTCAGTTTTGCTAGACTTAGCTGGGGCCTGTCCCAGCATTTCTAGTCAGTTTAGAGGCT